AAACTTTTCTGTCAATCTAAAATTATTTCAAAATGAAAAGTTGAAAACGAGAATAACTCCCTGGTGGCTTTCTCAGTCTAAGGATATTTGTTATTTTAAAGTATCTTCTGAGCAAATGAGTTCAGAGAAATCACCCTCTCCCAAGCCTTTGTGCAGTCTCTCTCTAAAAGAAAGATGAGCCCTTGATATCAAAAGTAAAGTCTCACAGACCAAGGACAATAAATTTTAGAGGCTTCTGTCTCATAACTAGAAATAGAAATGCATCTTTGCCTACTTTGTGCAGGTCAATTCAGCCAACATTGATTGTGTGCTTTTGTGACTTAGTGTGCTCAGCACTTAGGATACAAAAAAGTATTCTGTAAAACAGTGGCAGGGTAGAGCAACTGAGATTCTACCTGACACTGTTTTGAGCCCTTCATTCCGTATTTTATCTTTCAGCTGCTAATTTAAAATCTGCAGAGGTACTAGATCAGGTTTCATCTGACAGTCTCTTAATCCCAGATTATTGATAGATTCAGATAGCATAAAAGTATAGAACTCAGTAAGATGAATACATGAGAAAAATATTTATTAATATAAAATATACTGTGTTGCTCCTTATTTTTTTTCAAAACCAATAAACCTCATTAATTCAGTGTAATTATGGGTACAGATGTGAAATCCTGAGCTACAAAAATTTTATCTTTTACTTTCAAGCTCTCATTAGTACAAACTAGGATAGAGTTGGTTATAGAAGGCCTAACGGGGTCCTGTTTTAGAAAATAATAATATATAATTGGCTGCTGATGATTATTGTCATAATAACAAATTAGAATTTGGATACTAGAATTAAACTCTTCTCCTGTACGCTCGTCATTCTTTTGATCGGACCATTAGCGAAAACTATCTTTGGTTTGTGCACATATGGGAGACATTATTTTTACCAGTTAAACATATTTTACCACTTAACCAAATGAGTACTTTGCAGTGTGTCTTTCTTGGGAATATAACTGGTGTGATCAATGAAGAATGATGTACTGTTTTTGAACATGGAAATACGTTGACGTTAGTAGTGGCAGGTGCATGCATTTTCTGGAAAGCAGTGTTTGCCAGATTTTTAACTCATGGTCAAGCAGATATACAGATAATAATACTGCTTAATTGCTGTAGTCAGATTCAGCAACACATAATTTATAGCAATTCTGAAACTGAGAACATAAGAATGATAAACCATATGATAAAGATTCACCATAGTTGCTAGTCAGTAAAAGTATAGACTGCACATTGACTAGCAAGCCACTCTTGTAAAATGCATACAATATACTTTTCTTGACAGCTGTTTTCAAAGTGTACCTTTCTATGTCGTCATGGTTTCTTTAGTAAATTTACATGTAAAGTTTTTTTTTTTTAAACTTTCTTGCTAAAAGAAATCAAAGAAAATACAAATAAATTGAAAGACATTCTACACTTGTGGATTGGAAGACTTTTAATATTGTTAACATAGCCATACTACCAAAATCTATCTACAGATTCATGCAATCCCTATCAAAAAAATATCAGAACAACATCTATTGGATGCTGGGGAAGGGGGAGGGTGGTGGGTGGAGGGGGGAAGAGGGAGGAGGGGAGGGGTATTTGTATACACAAGGAGGGCAATGTGCACTACCCGAAGGATGGACATATTTGAAACACGGACTTCGGTGGGGGGGGAACCAAGAGCAACACACCTAACCTAATCATCTGTACCACGGGAAGGGCCGCGGGAGGAGGGGGTAGGAGGGAGGAGGGGACGGGTATTTGTATACACAAGGAGTGCAATGCGCACTACCCGAAGGATGGACATATTTGAAACACGGACTTCGGGGGGGGGGGGAACCCAATGGTATTTTTTTCAGAAATAGAAAAATTATCCTAAAATTCATATGAAATCTCAAGAGACCTTGAATAGCGAAAACAATCTTGAGAAAGAACAAAGCTGGAGGCCTGTCACCTGATTTCAAAACATACTGCAAAGCAACAGTAATTAAGAAAGTATACTTAGTTACTGGCATAAAGATAGATATATATACCAATGGCGTAGAATAGAGAGCTCAGAAATCTTTGCATATACGTCCAAATGATTTTCTGCAAGGGTACCCAGACCACACAGTGGGAAGGACAATCTCTTCAACAAATGGTGTTGGAAAAACAGTATCCACATGCAAAAGAAATGAAATCGGATCTTTACCTTACACCATAAAATTAACTCAAAAATAGATTAAAGACCTAAATGTAAGACCTAAAACTGTTAAACTCCTAGAAGAAAACATCAGAGAAATCTTTAGGACAGTGGATTTGGCAATTATTTCTTAGATGTGATACCAAAATCACAGGCAACAAAATCAAAAGTAGACTACATTAGACTTAAAAACTTCTGTACATCAAAGGAACCAAGCAACAGGGAAAACGCAACCTGATAAGAACTTAATATGTAGAATATATAAGGAACTTCTACACCTCAACAACAAAAAAACCAAATAACCTTATTTAAAAATGGGCAAAGGACTTGAATAGATACTTCTCTGAGGAAGGTATACAACCAATAAGCACATGAAAACATAGTATTACCAATTATTAGGGAAATGCAAATTGAAACCACAATGAGATATCACCTGACACCTGCCAAGGATGGCCACTATTAAAAAACTCCAGAAAATAACAAGTGTTAGTGAGGATGGGGACAAGTTGGAACCCTTGTGCACTATTGATAAGAATGTAAAATGGTACAGCCATTATGGAAAACTGTTTGGCGGTTCCTCAAAAAATTAAAAATAGAATTACCATATGATCCAATGATCTCACTTCTGGCTATGTACCAAAAAGAATTTAAAGCAGGATCTTAGAGCTATTTGCACACCCATGTTCATTGCAGCATTATCCAAAAGATGGAGGCAACCCAAATGTCCATCAACAGATGAATGGTTAAAGGAAGTGTTGTATATACACACAATGGAATATTACTCGGCCTTAAAAAAAAAGAACTCCTGTCACATGCTACAGCATGAATGAACCTCAAGGGCATTACGTTAAGTGAAATAAGCCAGACACAAAAGGACAAATACCGTATGACAAATACTATTTGAAGTATCTACAGTAGTCAGAATTATAAAAAGTACAAAAGTGGTTACCAAGGTCTGGGAGGAGGGGAGAATTAGGAGTTAGTGGATATAGAGTTTCAATGTTGCAAGATGAAAAAGTTCTAGAGATCTGTTGCACAACAGTGTGAATATACTTAACATTACTGAATAGTACACTTAAAAATGGTTAAAGTGGCAAATTTGTTGGGTTTTTTTTAACTACAATTTTTATAAAGCAATGTTTCATTGCCTAATTTTATATTCGGTTAACAATTTTACTGATTATCTACTATGTGTCAGTCACTTTTCTTTATTATTCTTCCAGTGACCCAATAAATTAGGAACTCCTTTCCCCATTTTAGATACTAGAAAATGGAGACTGAAAGGTTTAGAAACTTATTTCTGTTACACCTTACATATGGTATAACACAAATGTGGTTACCTAACTGAATGAATTGCCTAATACTTGGGTGTGGATAATGTATCAAAAGTAAAAGGAATGATGACGCCACTGCACTCTAGCCCAGGGGAAAGAGTGAGACTCTTGTCTCAAAAAAAAAAAAAAAAA